GTTGAAGATCAGTTAATCACTACTATATATACATATATTATATAAAAAATTCTTCAGCTGGTGTGCATTCACCTTGTATATTTATAAGACAACATGTACAAAATTTTAATGAAAAAGAAGCATGCAGTTATTTTTCCCTGTCAATTTAAAAAGCAAATAAACTAACATTGAAGAAGTTCCACCTAGACTTTGAACTTAGCAGTTCACACCTCATGAAGCTGAAAAGTGAGGTGGAAAATTCACAGCTATGCTGTTGCTGCACTGACTTTTGACAAGGCCACTTTAAAAGGTTAAAAGAGCAATAATTATCAGTGTGAGGATCTGCTGTTAGAGAGCTAAAAATAATATTAGAGCTGTCAAAAAAAAGTAATGATTTATTCGCATACTTCTGGGTGGGAATGATGGGAGTCCCAGCCCAGAGCCTATCCCCCAAGCCTATATTTGAAAACATGGAAAAATTCCAGAAATATTTAAATACATGTTATATTATTATTGTTTAACAGGGCAATAAAACAATTGCGATTAATCATTTTTTAAAATTGCTTGACAGACCTATAAAATAGATTTACTTTTAGTAGATTCTGGAGGAGGGAAAATCCAAAAAAGTAGATAAAAAAATTGTAGAAACAGATTTTCTTATTTTCCAGTGTTGCTGTCTATGAGATTTGATTCATACAAGATACCTGGTCAAGATCTGACTAGTTTTTTTGGTTTTTTTAGAAAAAAAAAGAATTGTTTCCTTTTTAATCAGATGGTAAGAGGACGTTTACTCACCTCGATAGTAACTGATGTTCTTCGAGATGAGTGTCCCCGGGGGTGCTCTATATTAGGTTTGTGCACCGCCACCAAGTCTCAGAGAAGAGTTTTCATACTAGTGTCCCTGGGGCCATGCAGGCGTGCACCAGAAATTGTACACTGTTAGGCTGCAGGCATCACACATGTGTCAGCTCCCCCTATCCCCACTCCTCAATTCCTTCTCTACCCTGAAACCATGGCTTGGGAAGGCTAGGATCCTGAAGTAGAGGGGAGGAAGGGAGGGTTGTGTAGCACCAATGGAGATACTGATGTCCTTTGAGATGAGTTACTATTGAGGTAATTAACATCCTCTTTGAGAGAGAGAGAGAGAGAGAGAGAGAGAGAGAGAGAGAGAGATGTCCCCCGTGGGTGCTCCACATTAGGTGTCTACAAAGCAATTTCCCTTTAGAGAGGTAGGGACTTCAGATTAGGCAAAAAAAAGTGGTGGAAAGGACTGCTTTAGTCGTTTCAGGTTGGAAAGAGGTCCCTGTGTAAGTGCAGTGTGCTTTGCAAATGTGTGGTTGGAGGACTGCATGGCAGCTGTCTCTTATGGGTACTCTACAGAGGAAAGCTCTGGTTGAGTGTGCCCTTATGCTCTCTGGAGCACATCTGACTATGCGTAGCAAAGCTTGATGCGATCCGAGATCCAGTGGGAGAATCTCTGTGATGAGACAGCCTGGCCCTTATTGTGGTTTGCTATTGAAACAGTCTGGGAGACACTTGGAACGGTCTTGTTCAATGCAGGTAAAAAGAAAGCGCTCTGCGCAGGGCAAGGTTGTGCATTTTCATCTCGAAAGAGCTGATGTGTGGTTTGGGGAAGAAGGTGGGAAGGTGTATTGTCTGGTTAACATGGAAGGATGAGTGTACTCTGGGGAGGAAATTGGGATGGGTACATAAAGTGACCTTGTATTTAAAAAAGGTGGTGTATGGGGGATCCGCCATTAGGGCTGCGATCTCTCCTACCTATCTGGACGAGGTAATAGCTACAAGGACAGTTTTCATGGACAAGCATAATAATGAAGCGGTCACCATTGGTTTGAAAGGCGGCCTTGTTAGAGCATTCAGTACTAAATGCAGGTCCCACGGTTGCATTGGTGGATTGCTATCTGGATAAAGTGCCTGCAGGCCCTTTAAGAACCCCTTGGTTAGTGAATGAACAAATATGGATGAGTCGTCTATCTTAGAGTGGAACGTAGTAATAGCCGCAAGGTGAACTTTAATGGAGTTTATTGAGAGGCCCACTTGTTTAAGGTGCAGAAGATAGTTGAGGATGGTAGATAGGGAGGAAGTTGAAGGCACCAACTGGTGATGAACACACCATGTTGAGAATCTTTTCCATTTCTGAAGGTAAGTCTTGCGGGTGTGCTGCGCCCTACTGTGTAAAAGGACCATTTGTACTTGCTGTGAGCAGGTCATCCAGAAGCTACTCCTTCAGGTGTAGTGAGTGGAAGTTCAGACAGACATTGCGGGAGCCAGGGTGAAGAAGGAGATCCCTGACGCAAGGTAAGTGGATCGGTGGGGCGCAGGACAGCACCACTGGGAAGGGAAATCATGGCTGGCATGGCCATGCTGGTGCTATTAGTATGAGATGAGCCCATCCCTCCTTATCGTGTGAATTTAGGAATAAGGGATCTTCCGGAAGAGGGCTTATTTTCCGCAAGATCCCATCTAGACTGGCGCTTTTCTCCAGCAAAACCCCGAGCCGGAAAAAAGTGGCAGCCATGTTCATGCAAATGCTGCGGGGGATATTTAAATCCCCCATGGAATTTGCAATTCCGAAGTGTCTCATTAGCATCCCTTTTACGGAAAAGGGTGCCAGTGTAGACACAGCTGTATAGGGGTATAGGAGGAAATGCGTAGAATAGGTGAGACATCCATGTAATGAGGAAAGCATATACCATTGATCCCTTGCCTTTTCCTGCCCAGGAACAGAATAGGGGCCTTTGGCTGTTGGACTGCGTGGCAAACAGGTCTATGGTAGGGTGACCCCACGGGCAGAAGATGTCCGCCAATGTGTGCGGGTTCATTTACTACTTGTGTTCGACTGGGAGGGCTCTGCTGAGTGCATCTGCCATTGTATTCAGGGTGCCTGGAAGATGCACTGCAATGATAATTGTGTTGTATTTCAGGCACCAGTTCCAAAGTGCTATGGCCTCTGTGCAAAGTGCTCAAGATCGGGCTCCACCCTCACGATTTATGTAAAATATTGCTGCAACATTGCCTATGTACAGTCTGACATGCCTGCTGGCGATGAATGGGAGGAATTTGACGCATGCATTCCCGACTGCCCACAGTTCTAGGATGGTTATGTGCAAGTTCTTGTTGGTGCTGGACTACAGGCCCTGTCAGGCATGATGTTGTAAATGGGCACCCCATCCTGTACAAGATGCATCTGTCGACATGGAGACAGATGGTTTTGGTAAGTAGAAGGAGACTCCAGAACACAGGTTCCGTGGGCTTAGCCACCAGTGTAAGTTCTCCTTTACTATCCCTGGAAGGGCTACGGATTTGGATAGCGGATTGATATTGGGCTTGTTCACCTGTCCCAGCTAGTTCTGTAAACATCTCATGTGCAGACGGGCATTGCCAACTATGAAGTTGCACACTGCTATGTGCCCCAACAGCCAAAGGCATTGAAGTGCTGTTGTGCGGGGGCTAGACTGTAAGGTATTTACCGAGGCCACAATTTTAAAAAAATGGTCTGTAGGTAGAGATGCGGTGACCATTGTCGAATCAAGGCAAGTTCCTATAAACTGTATCTTCTGTGTAGGGGAGTGAGTCGATTTGGTTTCATTCACCTGAAGGCCCAGGTGTTGGAATAGGTGTTTAGTGACTGACATAGAATGGCAGGAATCGTTGTGTGAGCGTTACTTAAGGCGGCAGTCATCTAGATAAGGAAATATGATAACACTTTGTTTCCTCAGGTATGCTGTGACATCTGCCAGCACCTTTGAGAAGACCCTTGGGGCAGTAGAGAGTCCGAATAGAAGCACTTTGTATTGGTAGTGTTGAGAATCTACAACGAAATGAAGAAAATGCTTGTGAGCAGGAAGGATAGCAATGTGAAAGTATGCATCTCATCGAGGGATGAGAACCAGTCATCCTTTTCCAATGCCGGTAATATGGTAGCAAGCGTTACCATCTTGAATTTTTGTTTCTGAACGAATTTAATGAAAGCTCAAAGGTCCAGAATGGGCCTTGAACCCCCCAATCTTTTTTCTGTCAAGAAATAATTGGAATAGAACCCCTTACTCCTAAATTGTGGTTCAATTGCCCCAATGTGTAAGAGATGTCTACTTCTTGTTGAAGGAGGGTCTCGTGAGAGTAGTCCCTGAAAAGGGATGGGGAAGCGGGGTATGGACACAAAAGGGAATAAGGTAGCCTTTTTCAATTATCTACAGGACCCATCTATCAGAGGTTATACATTGCCAGTTGTTGAAGAAGGGCAACTATCGGTGACGGAAGAGATTTGCTTGTGCAATGGTGCTGGAATAGGTGAGAGGCTCTCCAAACCCTCGACCAGATGATCAAATTTGCTTGTTGGACTGCTGTGACTTTGTAGAGGGAGGGTGACGTCGTTGGTTTCTGTCTCTGCCTCTGTTCTGCTGCTGGTGGTCTTGTCTATTATAGTGTTGTGCATATGGAGGGTATTGAGGTCTCGGATAGGGATGTTACCTATATTGCCCTTTTCTAGGTGCTTGGTTGTGGCTCCCCAAAGACTAAAGCATCACTCTGGAATTTTTCATGGAGTGGAGAATTTCATTGGTGTTAGCTGCAAATGACTTCTGGCCATCCAAAGTAGGTCATCTACTGTAGATAGAATCTCCCTAGGAATGGAGTGGAGCTAAACCATGATGCCCTTCTCATTACTACCAATGTTTCTATAGAATGTGCAGCTGTGTTAGCAGCATCTAAGGCGGCCTGTAATGCTGTTCTTGAAATTGTGTGACCCTTGGATATCAGTGCTTTATAGTGTTGTCTCTTAACCTCAGGAATGTCTGCAACAAAGTGACTCTGTTTGGTGTAATTTATGTAATTGTATTTGCTCAATAAAGCTGCGTAATTTGAAATGCAAAGTTGTAAAATAGAGGATGTATATATTTTGCGCCTGAATGCATCAAGCCTTTTGCTATCGGGGTCCGATAGGGTAGACCAGTATTGTTGGTGCTTGGATTTTTGTGGTGCAGCTTCCACCACAAGAGAATTAGGTGCTGGGTAAGAAAAAAAAAAATTCTGAACCATTGGGCGGGACATAATATTTCTTATCAGTTCTCTTAGCCGTAGAAGAGATTGATGTCGCAGTCTGCCACAGCATCCTTGCCGGTTCCATTATTGCTGGATTAATTGGCAATGCTATCTTTGATGGTGTTACTGATGGTGCAGTATATCTGTTAGGTTGTGTTGAATTTCCACATCCTCTTGGACAGGAATGTTTAATTCAGCAGCTACATGTTTAAAAAGGTTTTGGAAACATGTAGCGTCGTCTGAAGTCGTTGAAGCTGGAGCCAGAGATCCTCCCTCCTCTGGAGGTGGGGGAGGGGGTGTCCTTTGGGTCAGGAGGGGTTGCAGCCTCCTGTGTGAGTGGGTCCCCTTCTTGTATTTGTTTGGAGGGGGAGTATTGCATTCTGTGTAGTTTCCGGCCATGCTGGTGTTTCTGGTAATATTGCCATTTGTCCCAGTATTGCCGGTAGGGATAAGGCTCAGGTGGAGGTGCCCAGGGATTGCCATAATATGGAGGCATATTCCTAGATTCAGGAGCGTAAATACTCTGAGCTGTGTAAGGAGAATTCTCTGGTGAAAAATCCCAAGAGAAGTCAGCATCAGATTTGGATGAAAATCTTTCCTGAGAGAGTGATCTCTGTGATGTGAACATAGCAGGAGAGCACTCAAGTTGTAAAAATGGGGAGTTAAATGTGGATGAGACTAATAAGTTTCTGTGTTGAGTGTAAAGCCCAACAGGTGTTGTTGGTGCTGTCGTCAGGGGGCCCGGAGGCTATCTGAAGCACTGAATCATGCCTTGGTGCCGAGGACAGTTGTGGTGCATCAGGCGCCTCTGTGGTGGAAGCTGAGAAGCCTGTGAACATAGTCAGCGCCATGCTCTCATGCTGCATCGGCAAGATCATATCATTGCTGGATGATGCTGCAGCTAATAAGCCAGGCAACTTGAAGCCTGTCACCTCAGAGTGCGATTTAGTGCATGCACGCTGTTTGTCTCCACTGGGGGCTCCAGAGACGCCAGCAGCATCACAGGTACTAAGGCACGGTGCCGCCACTGCTCTCAGCACTGGTCATGAGGGAGATGGCCGTTTTGGTGCCGTAGCCCCTTGAGGTTCTGAGGAGGCTTGCTTTTTGGCAGGCTTTTTGGATCCCTGCTGCTTGAGTTCCTCAGGCTGCTGGCCAGGATCAGAGGCTGGTCTAAGCAAGTTTTCTAATAAAAATAACTTGAGGTGGGGGTCTCTGTCTTTCCGCACCCGTGATTTTAGCTTTGTGCAATGAAGGCATTTCTGAGAGCTATGAGGCTCTCTGAGGCAGTGGACGAATTGTGAGTGACCATCCAAAAGCAGAATATGCTCTTTACATGAGGTGCAGCGCTTAAACCCAGATGATCCAGGCAGGCATGGCTGCATAAGCAGTCAGAGACTGCAGGAAGGGATTAACTGGGAGAAAAAGAAAAAACCCCTTATACTAATTAAGATTTTTAAAACTAACGAAGTGATTAACTAACTATTTAAAACTCACTAATTAACTACTATGATGAATTTAACTGGTTTTAAGAAATACAATCATGTAGACGTGGAGAAGCTAGGGAGCACTACTGAGTCCGTCTGTAGCCGGAAGCGGTAGAGAAGTCATGTAGACGTGGAGAAGCTAGGGAGCACTACTGAGTCTGTCTTAAGCCGGAAGCGGTAGAGAAAGAACTGAGGAGAGGGTGCTCGTGCATGCACGATGTCTGTAGCCTAACCGCATGCGGCAGCTGGTGCGCTCCTGCGCAGCCCCAGGGACACTGCTATGAAATCTCTGCTCTCAGGCTCGACTGTGGCACACCAACCTAATGTGGAGCACCCACAGGGACATCTCTCGGGGAAGGACAATTCTTATATTTTGCCAATTTAGGGTAAAAATGCTCATAAGTTCATATTTCCTCTGTACAAGGCCTTAGTATAGGCTTTTGCACAGGAGATTTCACGGCATCCTTCCCCTTCCCGGCTACAGAAATACTTAGCAGGTGGTGCTGGGTTTCCCCTATTCAGAAGAGGAATTTTACTGGTGGACTCACTTGTTAGCAAATTTATGAGTTATACCATTGGTCTGCCTTCAATACCCTCCCTTTGCTAATGTGGATGGAGCACTGCTCCACAGCACACAGGGCCTTTCTATTGGCTTGCTTCACCCTATCCAGCAGAATTATATCAATTCTGCTGTCATGCAGTCCATGTGTGCTCCTGGAGAGATGTGAGAGGTCTAGGTTTTCTGCACTGTAAATACATGCAACAATACATTCCTTATCAGTGTAGAACTACGCATTAAAAATAAAAAGATGGTGCTTTTCATAAGGAAGTTCTGGTGTTCTACAGCTCTTACAAGCTTAAAAGTGCAACACACTTCTAAAATATTGATGCTTCTAGAACTATTTCTAAACTACTTCAGAATTTCTTAGAGTCACTCAGCATTCATTTAAAGCATCAAACATACCAAAAAAAAATAAAATAAAATAAAACCCACTCCACCACACAACCCAACAACATATCAGGGAATATTCTCTCTCTCTATAAAGAAGACAATGCCAATATTTATTAAACAATAAACTGCTGGGATGGGGGGTTAAAAAATTGCATGCCCTTTGGCAGTGAATTGAACAGCACTACAAAGCAAAATTGTGGACAAAAATGATTAATTTTAGTTTTTGCATGCACTTTTTATTTAAATTATGCCAGTCATGCTTTGATCTTGCTATTGGAATTCTCCCCTGAAACTATCTACTTACTGGCCTTTGCTGTTTATTGGACGTTGGATCCCTCACATAAATAGTTCGTTCAGTTTTACGTACTGGTTGGTTCTTCAAATCTAGCCCATCTCCAGGCAGAGTCTCTTTCCTTTTTGATTTTATACATCCCATATTTCCTGTTGGAATAAAAAGGTATTAAAACAAAAATGCTTTATTATATAACCAAGTAGCTTTTCAATTCTCTGTGTAACAAAATACTCCTTTCCAATCACAATGCTTGAGCATCAATTGCAAAAGCTTCCAGTATCAGTATTGGTACACGCACCTGTGGTCGGAAACCACTGCTTTAGGATTTCCCTAATACACTCTGCCAAGGTAATTCTTATATCAATGTGTGCATTCAAAATAGTACTGTCTGGGTACAGCTGCTAGTATCTACACAATTGGAACCGGGATGCTAATCCATCTATGTCAGGGGTGTCCAAACTTTTTTCAGAGAGGGCCAGATTTGATGAAGTGAACATGCGTGAGGGCCGACCATTTTGCCTGACATTCTTTGAACCATTAAAATTAAATGCAAATTAACTATTTTATGCAAAGTTTATTGCAAACGGCAAACGACATAACACCAACTATACATGTTGGGCTCGTCTACACTGGCCCCTTTTCCGGAAGGGGCATGTAAATTTCACCAGTCGTCGTAGGGAAATCCGCGGGGGATTTAAATATCCCCCGCGGCATTTAAATAAAAATGTCCGCTGCTTTTTTCCGGCTTTTAAAAAAGCCGGAAAAGAGCGTCTACACTGGCCCCGATCCTCCGGAAAAAGCGCCCTTTTCCGGAGGCTCTTATTCCTACTTTAAATATCCCCCGCGGATTTCCCTACTACGAAAGGTGAAATTTACATGCCCCTTCCGGAAAAGGGGCCAGTGTAGACGTAGCCGTTGTGTCCAAATATATTTATAACTGATTTAGACCAACTGACATTAACTGAGATTTTACAATGTATTCATCTCAATTGAAAAAAAAAACTTGCCTACACTAATGTGAAGGGTGAAACTGAGATCTGGACTGCAGCACATAGGCTAGGTCTGGTTCAAAGGCAGTCCCTGATCTCAGCAGCTGCGGAGTCCGTCCCTGATCTCAGCAGCTGCGGAGTCCGTCCCTGATCTCAGCAGCTGCGGAGTCCGTCCCTGATCTCAGCAGCTGCGGAGTCCGTCCCTGATCTCAGCAGCTGCGGAGTCCGTCCCTGATCTCAGCAGCTGCGGAGTCCGTCCCTGCACTCTCAGCCCCAAGGTAGAGGGCTTGCAGGGTCAGAGGCGGGCGGAGAGCGCAGGGCACGCTGGCCTGACGGCTGCCCGGGGGCAGGGCGAACCCGTAGCCAAGCGGGGGAGCGGGGCTGCGGACGTGCCCTACTTGGTGGACTTTAGGACCGCAGCGGCCGCCATGGACGGCGGCGGCACGGCCGGAAGCGGCGCCAGTCAGAGGAGCGCCGGGGAGCCAGGAGAGGGGGAGGAAGCGGGGGCTGTCCCTGCACTCTCAGCCCCAAAGCGGAGTGCAGGGGCAGGGTTTGGGACCGCAGCGGCGGCGGCGACCCGAAGCGGCGCGCTGAGCGCGCCGGTTAAAAAAAGCACCGGGGAGCCGGGAGAAGCGGGGGGCCGTATTAAATCCGACCGCGGGCCGCATTTGGCCCGCGGGCCGGACTTTGGACATGCCTGATCTATGTAATTATGCAGTTCTTCAGACAGCACCTGCAACAAAAAATCTTCATCTTCCGCCATTGTAGGGAAGCAACTATTTGTATTTGTCACAGGACCGGCCTTGAAGATGCCAAAAAAAAGCATTTACATATCAAACAGCCTCATGGAATGGGCTTGGGGCATTTACAAGCGCTAGTAACCCAGGAGTGGCCAAAGCACAGCCCGAGAAGCTAAAGCAGACCACTGAATTCTTCACCAGGTCTTGAGTCTGCCCTCATCTTTTCTAGAGACCTTGTCCATACTAAAAAGTTGCACCTCTTTAACAATACTGATACAGTAAAAGAGAACTGTACCCACAATAGGAGAGCTGCATCCATGTAAAAGTGCCCCTTTTTTGGTTACAACTGTATACTAGAAGGGCACTATATCAGTATAAGGCCCTTTTATAATGGTATAACTGTGTCCATAATAGGGCTTCCACACTTTTATCATTTTATAATAATCACAACATAATTATACCAGTACAGATATCAGGCATAGACCTAGTATTAGATGCACCCCTCAAGGAATACAGCCACAACATGTTATGCTCCCACCAGTTGTGGCCTTCTACCCAGGGAAAGATCAGAGCCATAGAAGATTGGGTTTGGAAGAGACCTCAGGAGATCATCCTCCTGCTCAAAAGCAGGACCAATTCTCACTAAATCATCCCAGCCAGGGCTTTGTCAACCTCACCTTAAAAACAGCTAAAGATGGAGATTCCACCACCTCCCTACATAACCCATGTCACTGTTTCACCACTCTCTCAGTAAAACAGTTTTTCCTAATATTCAACCTAGGCCTCCCCTACTGCAACTTGAGACCATTGCAGATGGAGCATTGCTCCATCTGGATCAAGTGTCTTCCTGAACTGCACCTCTTCCTCTACATTAGAGATGGGGGTGGCTACCGTCTGATATCAATGGGCATTCGGGCATGCTGGGCCAGACCCACAAAGGAATTCAACCAAATGGAAGTTAAGAGCCTAAATACCTTTGTGGATTTGGACCTCAGTTCCTTATAGGATTGAGTCCTTTACCTGTTCTTTATTACTTTCTCAAATCTTCCTAAGAAAGCAGCTGAAAAACTGCAATAGATTAAGTTCAGTTCAATGTACATGATTAACTTTCAAACTTAATTAGAAAACCTGTAAATTGATTTAAGTACATAAAGTTATGGAAACTTCATATCACATAAAGCAACTGCAAAATAATTAAGACAGTTAGGAATTTTCTCACTTATTGCATTTTATCTTCACACTGACAGTGAAACTAAAGATTCTGTGAAGTCTTCCAAAAATTGGGATCATATATTTCCATGGGTGTTCCCAGTACTTTATGCATCTCTGTGTATGGAGTCCAAGACATTTAAAATGGTCAGAATGTTGAGGCAGGCATAGATATTTCCAAAGTTACACAGTTCCATAGAAAGTGTGGGGAAAGTGGATTTATGCATGAATTACTGTAAAATGTTTATTTGCATTACTTCCTCCCACCCCCATCCCATGCAATTATCTCAATGAATATAAGGTATGTTTAATCTTCTATGTCAAGCAAATGTTTTTTTGCAGGTATAAAAAGGAGAATTTGATAAGCTTTCAGCTATTCAGAAGTACATCATCTATGGAGTAGAGTATTTGTTCTTCTGAGATAAGAATCACTTGTATAACAAAGGAAATACTTTCAGTTCCTTTACAGTTTCTCATTCCCACAATGTTTTACAATAGGCAAGATCTTACTTTTCATCAATGCTTTCAATCAATTCTCCTATCCACTTTACTAGACATAGAAGATGCTGTATATATAGATGACAAGAAACTATATGAGTGGATTACTTCTATAAACAGACATGTAATTAAGTAATTCAATTTAAATGATCATTGAATAAAATAAAATTACCTGATTTTATTATGTTACAGTTAAAAGTTAAAATGAAGTATAAAGATAGGACTGCTTTCTTAATTAGTTAATTTCTTATCTCAGGTCTATTGATACAAATCTAGGTTTACACACATAAACACAGCTATGAGCTTCCTCTGACAGGCTGTTTCATAATCACCAACCTTCCTTTTGATGTCTGCAAAGATGTAGGATTCAAAGAGAATTCAATACAAACATCATCTGCTAGCATCTCCTCTCACTGCAGTAGTATTTTGTCTCTTCTCTTTCTGCTTAGCTTTCTCTTTGATTTCAAGCAGTTTTTAGGTACCAGAAACTGCCTGCGATGTACTTGGCTAGATTTTAAAAACTTCTGACAAACACAGCTGTTTTCTCTGACTTTTGTTTTAGTACGAGCAATGTAATTTACTTAAAACCACAAGTATTTTAGCCTAATACTTCACAGTAAAAGATCACGTGACCATTACTGGTCCATCCACTTCAGCCATCATAGCCTGTGAGGTTTTGTTTCCTTTCAAGAGCTTATCTCTCTTAGTCATCTATATCTTATCACATTTTTGAATATATTCATGGTTGCTTCTTCTAGTGATGTTTGTTAGTTTATTGCACATTTTCATTATGCTGTGAGTTAACAACTGTTTTCTAAATCAACTTGGATGTCTGGGCTTTTCTCATCCAATGATTTTTTACTAAAATGCTTCTGAAATTCCAACACATTTTTCAATCCTTTAATCTTTGTAGAAACTGGAAAATAATAGCTTTTTAAAATGTTACAAATTAATAGCCTCTGATTAGTAAAATGCACTAACATACAGTATGCAAACTGCCTATTATAATTTAATCAAGGAGCTGACTAGACAATCCCAAAGCTATAAGAAGATATAGATAATTCTTAATAAATATCTATTTGCAAGTATACTTACTGTACAAATATAACACGTCTATGTCATTGCAAGCTTTATAGGTGGTAGAATATAACTTAACAATAAAGAGTTAATCATCTAACCAGTATTTTTAATGTCTGCCTGTTGTAGTAGACTAAAATACTCATTTTTATGAATTATATTTCATATAATAACTGTGGAATTTACTGTAAAGGAATAATATTGCATTTTTTAAAAAAATCAAAGATTGAAAAAGTCATCACTCCAGGCTTTGGGCAGTACTTTGCATTTAAAACTCTGAATCTAGAATGGAAAACAACTTATTTTTCAGCTGCATATTCCAAAAAGGATATCATGAAAACAACAGGTAAATGTATCTTTTTAACATTTAAAAATTTGTTTCCATTAGTTTTAGTACTCTCTTAGAAAACTGAAAAGAATCTCTCTCGTTAGTCTTTTTCCAGTTTCATCCAGCTTTCTCTCAGCACGGCTTTTTACACTGATTGTGCTCTTCTTTTCTCATAGTTTATAAAGGTGGACATAGAGCTGGTTGGAAATTCCCTAACAAAACAAAATTTTATTGGAAAATGCTAGTTCATCAAACACAAATGTCTTATGAAACCAAATCAAGTTCAATGAATTTTAGTGAATCATAGG